CTAAAATCAGTGTCATCGGATCTTGCCCTGTGGGTTTAGCAGTACTGTTCAGAAAAGAAGGATTAATTTTGAATCATCCTTCTTGTATTAGGGATTTTCTTGACCAATTTGATTGCTTCTTACTTTTGCAAAAAGAAAGAACATTGGTGAAGGTTCAATGAGTAGAAGATTGTATGGATTTATGAGCCTCAAGGGTGTTTGATCTTTTTTTTTACTCATGTTCGGATAACAAAGTTGTAATCTTTATGCATGATATATAGTTCATAGCTAAACATTCAGCTCCTTCCATAGGAGTTAATTTGAAGGTTTTTTGTCAGATTGATAATGATCTTCAAAGGCATAATGAGCTTCTTGATGTGATCAAGAAGTCGCCATCCAAGGTTGGTGAAATTGTTGCTAGACGCCGCAAAGACTTCACAAAAGAATTTTTTGGTCATCTCCAGACTCTGGCAGAATCTTACTATGATAATCCAACAGAACAAAATGGTGAGACTACAGCCTTTTTTATATTCTATTTTTGCCCTGTGTGCTTTCATGTTTACGAGGTTGCAGATATAGATCTGGCTTACATCAAGGACTGATTTAATGTTATGAAGGTTGCTTGACATGCCAGAATCGTACAGATTGAATTATGATAATAACAATATGGATCAGACTTATATCGTTGTCTTCTTTTTTTGTTGGTTCTTCATTCTCTGTATAAAAGATCCAGAATTTGGAAATCTTATTAGCAATTAAGTTGTCGACATGAATCATTATTTACCACTTTATAATCTGGAATTGTTTCTTTTTGAATCATTAGAAGAAGTCAATCTTTCACATCCTCCAACGGATGCTAAGTTTCTTCATCTCTCCTTCTAACAATTTCTTATGAGATTGCATTACACTTCTCAAGGGCCTTCTTTATGTTTTTGCAAGGCATACCTCCACCATTTAAGATATCATCCCTTTATTTTTCCATATGCACTTGCTGGCAGTGGCGGATCTAGGATTTGGGGTCAGATAGGGCGTTTCATTGACAATTGATCGTCGACAGTCAACGATCGTAATAACGAGATCGTTTATTAATAATTAATTAAATAATATTAATAATTCTTCAATCTATATGTAAATGCACTAAATCGTAAATTTATCATTTTCACTTATCACAAATTCACATATCATAGTTCACATATATCACATATCCTCAAATTCACAAAATCCCCAATTTTCACGTCATAACTCATAAATCATAACTCATAGTCAAAACTCAAAAAATTTCATAACTCATAATAAATTATAACTCATAAATGACAAATCATAACTCACAATCAATTCATAAAACAGAAAATTATCTATGCATCAAGAGATGTATTAAATTATACAGAAAAACAACAGAATTATGCATACTCAAATTGTGTATTAGTGCATTTCTATCAATATGTGTATTTATGCATCAAGTAATATACAAAATTAGATAGAAAATTAATAAATTATTAATACATGTGAAGCAAAAATGCAAAAAATAACCAAATGAACTGCCTCATTAGTAAAATGATTTGATGCAAAATTTTAGCTACATATAGAAAAATTATACCTTGTTGCAAAAGCCCTAAAAACCTATCTTTTTGGGTACATCACAAGACTAATAAAAAGCCTAAATATTTCACCTATTTTCAGAAAATTGATAAAGAAATCTATTTATCGACATCCAAATATGGATGCCACATATACAAAATTACAAGTGTTTAGAGAGAGATAATAACAACATCATCGCCAAAAAAAAAAAAATGAAGCTTACCATATAAAAGGAAAGAGGTGTTATCACAACTTTGTTGACAGTATCAATAAAATGAATAAGTAAAGGAATACTTGCATTTATTTTGTACAAAAGAGCAACCGTGAAGCTAGACGGTGCCGACATGTTGCGTGAAGGCGTGAGTCGGAGAACGGGAGCCAGCAGTCGAGAGGTAGAACTTAGAGGATACTGTTTGGTGTGAGATGAAATGTCATATGAATTGAAAAAGTCTATGGGCTTGTTTCCTTTGCAATTCTTAATGGGTCATTGTTTTTCTTTAAAAAAAAAAGCCTAATAAAGAAAAGGCACAGATTCTAAAGGCAAAAAAATGGCCCAAGAATACATCTTCTTCCCCATTTGCTTCCCTCGTAACTTTACTGTGTCTGACGTAATTGAGCACCAGCGGCCGCACCTGTAAATTTCGACAGAGCCAGCATGGGCAGCCACGCCACCTCGTCGGGTGCTGGCTCCGCCACTGTTTATCTGGATGTTGGAAACATAGATAATTCAAGACACATGCTAAATGAAACATTTCTTCTCTTCTAACTCTCATAGGTTTGGGTTAGGTTACTGATAAAATGCATTGGTTCTATTAAATACACAAACCCCTTAGATGGTAAATATCCCAATGGCTCATACTGAACAAGAAACTGTGCAACTTATATTAAACTATCCGTGTCCCAGTCCACCCTATTCTGTTCAGACAATGTTGTGATGGTACATTGATCATTATCCGCTAATGATGTATGTTTTCCTTCTCCCTTAGTGCGAACAAGAGAGACCTTTTTCATTTGAGGAAAGGATCCATTTGACTATTCTTCTACAAATAATGTATTTATTTAATTTTTTTTTTTTCAGATCTCTTTGGATATATAGTAAACCTTGGTGTCGTTATTGTGCTCTTGTTATTCCAAATATACTTCCACTTGGGCGCACACACTGCCTCTTCCCCCTCCTGTCCATAATTTCCATCTTAGCTTTGAATTGAAGCTTGGGTGGTGATGTAGATCTGTTGTAAATTTCTTTGGGCATTATAATTTCTATTTTTGTTCTGACTTATAACTTTCTTTGCCTTTCAGCCTGCTGATTGATCCTTGAATTAGTGAAACCTGATCTCAATTTTGAATTGTATTCAGATGTTTATGCAGTGTTTGCAAGTTATACTATTTGGAAGCCAGTCCAGCATATCTTTCATCCATAAGCTGACTAGGACTGGATGCAGAATTTTGAGTTTTGCTTATAGTTTGAATTAGGATGATTTGTGACTTTTATATTTTCTTTCTTTCTGGATGAATAGCTGTGGCAAAGCTTGGTAATACGTGCTTAGCTGCTGTACAAGCTTATGATACTGCTACCGAAAGTATAGAAGCAATCAATGCTGCAGACTTGAAATTTCAGGATATAATTAATTCTCCCTCTTTAGATGCTGCTTGCCAGAAGATAGATAATTTGGCTGAGAAAAATGAACTTGATTCGGCATTGGTTCTCATGATAACAAAAGCTTGGTCAGCTGCTAAAGAGTCGAACATGATGAAAGATGAAGTACGTTTATTGATCTCCTTATTGCATGCTCTTCTTTCCGAATTTAACAGATTGAAGTTGTTAGAAAATATATAGTATCGTGGAAAATTTGGATTAAAACCTCACTGCTGTTTGAATTCTACAGGACTAGCATTTGTCAAAAACTTCCAAAAGGACGTGCATATTCTCATTCTCCTGCAGATAATGTGTTTCTTATTAACACGTTTTCATCTTTTATCAGGTGAAAGATGTATTGTATCATTTATATACGACAGCAAGAGGTAATCTTCAGAGGCTTATGCCAAAAGAAATTAGGATACTCAAATACCTGCTTACAATCAAAGACCCTGAGGAGCGCATTAGTGCTTTAAAGGATGCTTTTACCCCGGGAGAGGAACTTGCAGGAAAGGATATGGACTGCCTATACACGTATGCATCTTGAACCTAACCCATGTTAAGACTGTTAGTCACCTAATTTTTAATATTGTTTCATTTTGGTCGCCGAACTCTTTTTTTTTTTTTTTTCTTTTATCCGAATTAGTGTAGAACTTTTATTTTTGTTTTAGTTTTGCGTTATCTCTGTTGAGTTAACGGAATGCTAAAATGGCTAATGGAAAATATGACATGGATTGGAAAATCCATTAATGCATTGTTTTTATAGTCTAGTTGGACAAAAACGCGTCTTGTTTGTTGGATTACTGGTGCTTTCAAAATGCACCTTTGTAAAGAAATAATGAATAGATGAAAAGCTTTAAAAGAAAAAGAAAGATCATAATGGCTTTAGCCTACCTGGACGATGAAAACAATTCACTAACCAGATTTACCATTCTTGTTATATTTTCAATCAACCACATTATTATTTATGTTAATTCGGCACATAGAGGTCAAACAAGTGTCTAAACATGAACAGAAATAAAGGTTGAGTGACTAATTTGGAACAAAAAAAGTTTGGTGATCAAAATGAAACAACTCCATGAATTGGGAGACTGAAGTGTTTTTAACCCCCTTATGAAGTTTGGTAGAAGATACAATATGAAGTATGTAGCAGTTCTCCCTCCATATCTGGGGGCACGTGTGAGGATTACTTGTTCAGGCAAATTTCTTTCAAATGACTTGCTTTATTTTCTGATTGATCCTTCTCTATAACAAAATTCTTACAGGACACCGGAGCAGCTACACACCTGGATTACGACTGTAGTTGATGCATATCAATTTAGCAGAGAGGGCACTCTTATAAGAGAAGCGAGAGATTTGATGAATCCAAATATTATCCAGACTCTGGAAGAATTGAGAAAATTGATCCAAGATAATTTCATGTAAGCACGATTTACTGTTTAGAATCTTCCTCCGATCATCTGGTTCAGCATCTCGTCTTCTGAGCCCCTCGAAGTGAACTTAAAGCAGTATTTACGGTGATGACAAAGTAGATACTTGGCCTTCTTTGGTGGCTTTGAAGCTCGGCCCTGAAATTTTTGCAACATAACAGCCTGACCCTGCAAAATGCCCAATTGTTATGTGTTTATTCTGCAAGACAGTTAGGCTGCTCTTGGTTGCAAACTTTAATGTATGATAGAATAGGCAACATACTGGGTAAATATGACACTGTATTTCACTGAGTCTAGAATGATGAATCTTATGAGAGTTTTATGTCTTGAAAAGTGCAAACACTCGCCGAAAATTTCATGTTTGCTTTTGTTAAAAGTCTGTTAATAATTTTGAAGTTAATCCATCTTAATTTGTGACAAACAACAAGGGCATTGGGCCAGGATGGAAGTGTTGGGGGCATTTGCAAAAATGTTAGCTCAGTGCTGTTATGAAATGGGTTGTTGAAGTCTTGACTTGAATATTCTATTGATATATAAAGTGGGCTATATCGGAATGGTATTGAGCATGACTCGCCATCCGTCATGGCTGCTCGTGTTGGGCATGGCACGCCATGTACGTTAAAAACTTTCTAGAGCTTTGCACGATTAATATTGGGTTGTCGACCAGCACATTTGACTATAGTTTATAGGAACCAACAAGAAAAGCAGCACGGCCCACCCGAGCATGCCCGTAGACCGGGGCCAAAAGTACATGGGTTCATTAGTTCATGTGGGTCAAGATTTTACTTGCATCGGAACAAGGCATTGTCTTTGACACTATTAATTACTTGGTACAAAAGGAGAACATGGAGTTTCCATCTGGTTGGTTTCGAACTTGATCGCCAATTTGGAAGGAAAAGTGAAGATGACTTGTCCATTTAGAAGTGTCAAAATATATTGGACCGCTAACGATTTGCCCAAATAGAGCAGCCTGAGCTGGCCTTCTTTAGAAAAAAGAAACAAATAAGTGGAGAGAGGGTTGGCTCTCCTATATTTTTAATTTTTTTTAGAATTCATTTTTCTTTTCTGCACAAATACCCCTTCTTTTCTAAACTTCCTTACTTACTGAACCCGTTGCACAATCTCAATTTCGCTATATTAAATTTTCTCATCTATTTAAATTCAATTGTATATTGTTTAAATTCTAAATTTATTTGATAGATTAATTTATTAATTTCTATAAAAATTATCTAAGAGAATTGATGCATATCTTGATGATCCGGAGCCATTTGAGTAGATTGAAAAATAGTTGATGAAGACCCTCAAATTGTAGAGGTGGCAAAATCCTATAGCGCCGAAAAAATATACATTATAAAGTTGTTGAACGTCATCTATCTTCTAAGTTTGACAGATTTGTGTGATATTTTATATTTAGATAATACCAAATAGCTCAAATATCTATTTATTGAATTAAATATTAAATAATGTTAATAAACATAAATTTGTTATGAAATAAAAATAATAGAACAAGAAGAGAAGAAAAATATAAGTTAAAACTCAAGTGTGTATTTT